GTGTACCCAGACTGTTATTTATGCACAAATAAATTTCACGCAACTCACTTCAAGATTAACCTGAAGAAACCAAACATTTGCTCAAACAACACTTTCTATACATCTAAAACCAACAAACAACAAATTACTGAATTATAGGTACTTAACCAAATATTTTCAAACCAATTAAAGAGTACATATAACAACACTTGCTCAAACTTACCAATTGTTTATGTACAACTTTCAGCATGCGGATGCAGGCAGGCAGCGTCTCGCATATATCGATCTGGCCATATAATGCCAAAACCACAATCCTACTGCAGCTCTATCTCTATCTGTGGGAGGTAGATACTGTATACTTCCTGTCGTCAAACATTCCAAGCATAAGCATACTAGAGGACCAAAATCCCCTCTGGCTCGCTGCATTTGTTGTGGCTCAGTCTCGTCTCTGATCATTGTAATTTTGAACTTCTTTGGCTTCTTGTTTCCAGAATTTGTCCAATAATCAAGTGCATTCAAGTATTTAGCCAAATGATCGCTCCATCCCTTTGCAATAATATCTCTCAAATCAGACAATGATATATAATTCAACATGCTATCATATACCATTGTCTTCAGGGATGGGAGCTAAAGCTTGACGAGAAGCCAATGACGATGTTCTAAAATAGGGATAAACACCTGCAATCATAAATAATTGTGCACATCAAATAAAATTTATGAAAACCTTTAAAATATTCAAAAAAAATAAATACTAACCTTATCGACCTCCCACCACGCAGGATAAAATTTAGCTTTTCCATTAGCCAACTTATATGAAGCATCTTTCTGATCCTTCAAGTGAGCTGCGTGAAAAGACGTCGGTATAATAGTCCATCGAGTATTTTTTATTTTCTTCAATTTCCTTATTACTAGAAGACGTGACACCCATGCATCAATATGTTGTTTTATAAAAAAATACATATATTAGTGAATTTATTAATAAATTTAAAAAATTAATCAAAATGCAATATAAGAAGAATATAAGACTTATCACCCCTTCGAGATAGCCATTATCTTCAACCCCTAATAAAATATCCCACCAAGACCGATCAAGAAACAAATGATATGCATCGTCGATTTGGCATAGGTCAGAATAACACCCCTTGCTCCGCTCATGTAGATAAAAATCAACTGCGGTCTTAGCCCAAAGGGTATTATCCGTAATTGTTTCCGGTAGTGTTTCCTCTCCTCCTGAGGAATGGTACTGGCCGGTAACACATACGAAAGCCAACTCGCATCCATCATATCGGGTATGGGAGGGGGTTTATCAATATGTCGACATATGACGCCATGTGAATCGGGCTCTTGAACAGCGGGCATGACCACTTGAACGGTGGGAGGGGCTTCTTCGATGATGAAAGGGGCCTCTTGAACGATAGGAGACGCCTCTTGAATGATGATAGGTGCATCAGGCTTATTCTTACAGAGTCTTGGCACTAGTGGGGTGAACAGAGACGTAATGGTATGTGCACGACATCTGATGCGTGAACCCCGTCTTGCAAGAAAAACTCGACGTAAAGCATCTACCTTATCGGCCCGCTGAAAATAAATTAATACATAAATCAGTAAATAAATAAATAATACCGAAAAAAGGTTATTTGCATTGTATTAAACAAATTTACCTCATTGCGTAGAGTATGAACCTCATTCTGCAACGATGAAACAATCTCGCGTAGAGCGGCCACCTCATCACGTAAAGTAGATACCTTACCACGAAGCGCACCATTGTCATTACGTAAAAAATCCACCTCACCACGTAAAGAACGAACCTCGTCATGCCATGCACTATTGTCTTCACGTAAAGTATCGACCTTATGACGCAAAGCACCGACCTCATCACGTAACTCCCCTAACTCATCCCGTGGAGGTAGAGAACAGGGAGATGGAGATAGACGGAGCCTCTTTGTCGGTCGCCTATCATGAGGTGATGGTGGAGAAGAGGCTCGATGATGTGATGGAATAGGTGATAGTGGAGGTGGAGAAGAGACTCGACCAGATGATGGCTCCGGGTGTCGAGCTATAGAATCGGCCCGATGGGGTGATGGCTCTCGAAGTGTGAGATGCTCGTCATCCATCCCATCAAAAAACCGCTTACTAGCTTGTCACCAATCAGTGGCAAGCTCAGCATCTGAGGATGTCAGCCTCTGTAATGGGTAGTTGGCCACCTAACAATATAAAAGCTCAAACAAAGTTAAACGTGTACTAGTAATAACTTGTTTATATATGGTAGTATTTGTGTGTTAACTTACATCATTAATCGTCGTATATGGGAGTAAGTCTTCCCAATCCAACATGCGGATCCTCTTCGAGGTAATAGCCCTAGGAATATCATTTGATCTTTTTATCGCATATGTTCGCATACTGGGGAAAGCCTCAAATATCCAAATCTACAAACAATATAATACACAGACATTGGTAATTGTTAACTAATTAATTATAATTTTGGAAACATTATATAGAAATTCTTACCTTAAAGGTCCAAGTAAAGCCTGTCAAAGTGTATTTAGAACCATCGCCCCGCAAACTTTTTCGGCCATCGAAGGCAGACGACAACTTCTTCAAGGTAGCTTTCCATATATATGAACCCCACGGAAACAGGTTTCATGCATTTAGGTCCTCTACCAATAATATTAGGTCCTCGAAGATTGGTTGTCTGCCCTCTTTGCCTAAAAAGCTGGCATGCAAAAGTAGTAAATGGCATACTCGGACAACATCAAGGTCATCCATCCGAGTAAAACCATCTTTATCAAATAATCTCTTCAAGTCGTCGACATGTATACTCGGCTTCGACTTTGCCAGCTCAGGAAAAACCCGATATAACCATGATGGGCGAGCAATATGACTAGTGTACCGACCTACATCATCGTGTCTGAAGCGTAGACCGGTGATTAAGTAAAACACCTCCCGCCCAAAACAAGTATACGCCGGTGCCGGAGGAAAATGAAACCATATCTCCTCATCACCACGTTGTACCCCCTCGGGTAGATCGTTAGTTATGGTCTGAAGAAACAAATGTGTCAACATAGCATCTCCACCCGTATGTTGCACTTTCAGCCATGGCCCGAAGCAAGTATCCTCAAACAATTTTCTTTGTAGAGGTGTAAGCGTCGACGCAATTTTAGTGGCTAGGCTCAATTTATTCCTTAAGGTCAATGTAGCCGAAAAAAATTTCTACAAAAACAATAAACATACCAAGTTAGATATACCAAAAACTACAAATTATACACTATAAATAGACATGATATTAAACAGTGAAAACAAAGCCAAATATGTTTCAAACTAGCACGGTATTCACCAAAGTCATTATTCTATCATAGTTCACAAAATGCATCAGATAACATTCCAGAAGTAAGCACTTATATAAACATTTAAAAGGACAACATATAGGTTTAGTGCAGGTTCAAGGACAACATAAAGAGTAGTAGTTTATTCTTGAAACTTAAATTAGCAACACTGTGAAGTTAGTATTTGTCTTTGTTTTTTGGTTGAAATAATGTAATTCATTCAAGTTTCAATTTGCAGAATAAAAGAAGTTTCTGAAACTTAAATTCGTAACACGAATTTGGTGTTGCGATTTAGGGTTTCTTCAACAAAAAGACAAAACAAAGACAAATACTAACTTCACAGGGTTAAAGACTAAACAAATTTAGCAGTATTGGCAGCAACCGAATGAATTTAGCAATCTCAGTGAAATGGTTAATCTAATAATACAAAAATTTCAAAATAAAAATAAGAGATTAAAAAAACTAACCCTCGTGGTTGATTTTCCATTTCTGACCGTGAATGGTTGTGAGGGTTGATCTGAGAGATGGAGATAGACGGATTTAGTCGGAAATGGGGACGGATTTCGTCGGAGATGGGGACGGATGTCGTCGTAGAGAGTGAGAGATGGAGATGAGACTGAGTTGTGCTCTAGGGTTTTAGGTTAGTGGTGATTTGCGATAATACTGTTTACATTTGTGTTGCGAAATTAATATTATGTTTCGCGTAAAAACATTTGATTTTCGCGTTGCGAATTTGGAAAATCGTAATGCGATTTACATATTCGCGTTGCGAAATTGGAAACTGGGTTGCGAAATTGAAATTCGCGTTGCGAATTTGTTGGACATTTTTGACAAATCCAAAAAAAGTTAGTTAAATTCGTATATTATAAGACATTTTTTGTTACTGATGTTATTTTCTCTATTAAAAAGGATGGACCACTCATAACCGACATACCATCTTTCTTCCTTTTCATAATAATCCACTCTCCTTCCTTCAAACATCGACTACCGATGATTCTCTTACCGAATGGATAGGCCGAAGGGATAAGTTGAGACATGTTGTCCATTAAAATTTTCAAATTTTTTATATTTTATATGTATTTTATATTGATAATATACATAAAACCTCTAAGATTTATAAATTTAATTTATTCAAAATTTTTATAAATTTATCATCAAACACAAAATTTCACTAATATATCTGTACGTCTTGCAGAATATTGTTGTCCCGTAGCTATCTCTCAGTCGCAAACAAATTTGACTTTGGAGAAAGCTCAAGTTTTTCAACTCCTGCCCTCTTATTTTTCAACACCATTAATGGGGTTCATGGATTTCACCCAATAATTGGGGCTCTTTGGTGGGGTTGGACTGGTTTAAACGTGGCTACACTCCTTTTGCACCTTGTACGTCCCACATATACATGGGAGAAACTACACCAATGATCGTTTTTTCATTTGCCATTTGATTTTAAGATTTCATGTTAAAAAACTAGCCTTCCCAAAACAACAAAACTAGTATTTCGGCAAAAGGCCCAATTCGTAAAATAGAATTTGAGGGAGAAATCGATTGGTCCAATCTATCCAAGAAGGAAGAATTCGGGCTTTTGGCAAGAAATGAACAATGGGGTCAAGCCAGTATACAAAGCAACTGTAATTCTCGTCCCCCGAAAAAAAAAATCTGAACTTTCCCTGAAAATACCAAATTTGCTTCTTTGGGTTGATAACATATACAATAATGGCAGCTTCGGCTCTTTCTTCTTCTCTGAGTCTCTTTATATCTACTCGAACCAGACCCACGTCTAGTTCATCCATTTCTCCGAGGTACATGGTTTCTTCTGCTGCTTTTCACCGCATTTGGTAATTTTTTTTCCTGCTTGTGTGTTCTTTTAATCATCAGAAACTCGAGGAGGTTGACAGTCTCTGCTTTTCCATCCCCTTATGGAGATTCTTCTACAATGGGTAACTTCCCATTTCTTGAATTTAATCAATTTATGTTGCACCCTTTTGATTCTTTTAATTCTGCTTTATCTTTGGTTAAAATCTTTCAAGTGTAAGAAGATAAAGATTCAAATATACTATTGATTTTCTAAATGTGTAGTTATGTTTAATTGTTTATCTCATATTGTGCTTGCTTGTCAGTGTCTTTGTAGAGCTATAATTTTGTGTTAATTATGCTCAAGCTATTGTTTTAGGATATTCTGCTTTTGTACATATAAATTGGATTGTTGTGTTTTCAGGGTTATCTAGTAGAACTTCTGGTCTATCCTTGGAGATCAACAAGAAGGGTTTCCATGAGTCCGATCCAAGGTTCCTTACTCTTTTTGTTTCAGTTTTCATATTACTGCTACATGTCATTGATGCATATGAACGATGTATACGAAGTTTTTCGAGAATAAACCACTGGTAATATCTAGTTTTGGACTTCTAGTAATCTGTTTTAGTGGGATAAATTCGTTGATGGTTTAGGTATGAAGCTGAAACGCTTCCCGTAAACAACATTAGGAAGGAAAATCGTTTGATCTAATCGTTAGGTTTTGTTACCTTCCAACCTATAGTGTATGTTAGCTATTGGATGAGACAATGTTTGCACCCGTCTTCTAAACATACCATCAGTTTCTGTGTATATGATATTAGACATCATGATACTCCTATGTACAGCCATGATGCAATACAAGCTAAAACGGGGAATCCACCTGTGATGCCAGCAGAAATGACTCCGGGAGGGCCTTTGGACCTTTCAACTGTGTTATTCCGGAATCTTATCATCTTTATTGGTCAACCAGTCAATTCACAGGTTGCTCAAAGAGTTATATCACAGCTTGTGACTCTGGCCGCTATTAACGAGGATGCGGATATTCTGGTGTGGTCATATTTTTAGTAATCCTCTCTGCATTCGCTATTTTCCATTTGTTACCTAGGTTGTAGGGCTTTATATCCAGATTTCCAGAACCTGCTATGAGTTTATAACTTTAACCTATACCATGCCAGGTGTATTTGAACTGCCCCGGTGGAAGCACCTATTCGGTGTTGGCAATTTATGATGGCATGTCTTGGGTGAGATTTTAATCTTCATTTAGCCTTTTTTTCTTACCCATACCACTTCATATTATGAATATCAGTTTCTATTTTGATGAAAATGCCACTGCATACTTTATTCAATCGTCTTATTTTGCAAGCATTGATTCATCATTATTTCAGATAAAGCCAAAGGTGGGCACAGTTTGTTTCGGAGTAGCTGCAAGCCAAGGAGCACTCCTCCTTGCTGGTGGAGAGAAGGGGATGCGTTATGCAATGCCAAATGCACGCATAATGATACACCAACCGCAAAGTGGATGTGGGGTATGATTTGGCTTCGTTTACATTCTAGTTGCTGCATTTAGAAAACAAAACTTGGTAAAGGTGGATGAAAAGATTTGAAATGGATAGTACAACATATCTGTTTTACTTGTTCAAGAGGAATGGTTATTACTATAACAGAAGTATTAATTTTCGGAATATTCTTGCGAAAACTATAATTCAATCATCATTTGTAAGTGAAGAAATTTCATTCTTGATCGATTGCTCATTATGTGATTTTGCAACAGCTAATGTACCTGGAGATATTTCCTTCCGGATCTGCTTGTTCTTGTTAGATCGATGCTAAAGCCTTAAATTTAAAACATTGTGGATTTCTTTTATAGTTGATATTTTAGATGGTACCGAATGCTTTCTCGTGACAATAATTTTAACAGAACATTCTATGTTATTTATTCCAATTAAAGCTTTGAATTATTAGTTTAAAAATGTTTGTTTTCTTGCTTCTCTTTCATTGTTCTATGATATCCCGGGTAGACGACGTGGTTAACTTACATCATTTCTCGGATATCCCGGCTTTTCGTATACCACTGACTCCCGATGCCTCTTTGATTTTGTTGATTAGTTTTCACCTTTCCCTGTTGGTATTTTGGTGCACGTTTTGCCGTAGAAGATAAGCTCATGCATCTTGTAACAAATTTGATGACCCTAAACCATTTTGAAGTTCTTGAACTCTCTGTAACAAGCTTGAAATTTGATCTAATTATCGATGTACTTATTGAAATCGGTCAGGGCACGACACTAGTTCTTATTGAATTGATTTTTCCACATGTTATTTCATTTTGAAGGGCAATGTTGAAGATGTCCGACGTCAAGTGAATGAAGCAGTTCAATCTCGCCATGTAATTCCGTCTTCCTTTTATTTTGCAGTAAGCTACCAACGGATCATGTTGGTCAAACTCCTTGTTATGCCTTTTTTTTTTGCAGAAAATCGACAAAATGTACGCAGCTTTCACCGGCCAACCACTCGAGAAAGTGCAACAATACACAGAGAGGGACCGCTTCTTATCCGTATCCGAGGTAATGCTGTTTCCTGGTTTTCCGTAAACACTATGCCCGACGCTTGTTCTTGCTTCGTTCGAGTAGGGGGAAAACGATAATGACCGCCAGGGTCGAACCGATTTTCCATTTGCTAAGGCATGTCACTTTCAACAATTGAAAGAAAGACTGACCGGTGTGCTCATCTTTGACAGGCTTTGGAGTTTGGACTCATAGATGGTGTGCTTGAAACAGAATATTGAACTCAGTTTGGGGTTCGAGTCATCCATTGCTATGCTCTGCAAATTCTAGACCTTACTTTCATGGTTAGTGGAGAAATGGGCTTAGTTCATAGTTAAGATGTTTGCATAACAGTTGTAAGGCAAAGTGGTGCATATTTTCAGTACAAAGCTTAGCTTGTTATGCATCATATGATTTTAGGGTGAGTGTTGGATCAAGTTGAGTAAAAAAATTGCGATTTATTCGAGTTGATAAGTCTTATTTATAATTCAAATTTTATTTGAATTTTTTAATCGAGTAGTTCGAGTTTCTGTTTAAATTTAATTACAAATATTTATAATATTACAGAATTATTTGATTTAGATTTATAGGGTTATATATATATATATATATATATAATTTTCATACATGATATACAATTAAAATTAGACTCAAACTTGAAACCCTAAACCTAAAATAATAATAAAATTATAGAAAATCATAAAATTAAACATATCAAATTCACAAAACTTATACTTGCATACTATTATCGTGTAAGATAGATATTGTGTTAAAAAAATTTATTTCCTTAAACCCTAAATCTTAAATTATAGAATATTATTTTGTTAAGTATCTCGACTATTAAGAGTTATAAATTGTTCACCCGACTAGATATTTTGTTAAGTATCTCGACTATTAAAAGTTATAAATTGTTCACCCGACTAGAGATTATGCTCCAAACTATTCATTTTCCATAAAAAAAATTGACGATTGTCTGAGCTAAACATTAACATGATGACTGAGATACGATAGTCGTTTGATATTATGTGATTATATTTTTATCATATCACAATTAGCGTATTAACGTTTAACTCAAAATACTGCCAACTTTTTAACAAAAAAGAACGAGTTTGAGACATAATGAATAGTCAGATGATCATTTTGTAACTTTGAATAGTCGAAGGACTTAATAAAATAGTATATTGTTGTTGAGGGACCATTTATGTACTTTACCTATATTCATCTCTAGTTAGTTAATATGTTTTTTATCTATCATCTAATTTCATTCTTTTTTAAAGATTTATGGATTGAAATTAACCTTCTACTTACCTTACACATCTTGATTTAATTTAGTAACAGTTCACATTAAATTTATTTAAAGTTCGAAGATCGAACACGATAATTTTGACGGAAATAAAAGAAATGAAATGAAACACCTTCTTTAGCCATCAAAATCAACGACGGAACTGGCGAAGATATCGATCATATCCTCGTTAACAGGGAAAGTGGTGTTCGCTGTTATCCTTTGTTTGGCGGAATCCACCAACTCGTCCGCTTGATCACAAGCCGCTTTGAACGCCTCCCATTTCTTCTTAAAGCTTTCTAAGGCAGCATCGGCCGCCGCCTGATCGTCATCGGAGGCCGCTTTCGATTCCAACACGGTGGTCGCAGCAGTTACGAACTCTTGGTAAGCATTCTCTAAGCAATCCACGACCTTGTCCATCACTCTTTGAAATCAAACTACGAAAATCAAATAAAAAAAGAGTATTTTAATGATTTATTTAAGTATTTTTTTTACTGCCAATTTAAAACCAAATATAACGATTCTGATAGAATGAGAAACCGAATCGACAAAAAGGATCCATAAACCCTAATTTAAACAATAATTATCTAATTTTCTCATAAAACTGAATAATTTTATTTTTGAAATAGGATAAAATAAACGCATTTAGCATATAAATCCGTAAAAATTACCTTTTAAATTGAAAAAAAAAACTGAAGTTAACGAAGACGAAAGAGGAGAAGAAATTTGAAGTATAAAATTGAAATCAGTGGGAGAGGTAGGATCAAGATATCGTTACTCCCTTTGATTTGTCATCTTCTTCATATATGGTAATTACTCATAAATTAAATCAAAAAATGGGTAAAGCATATCGGATACCTTTGAATTTTAGATGTTATCTTTTAATATCACTTATTTTTAATTGTTTTAATATGGTATTAAATTATATATTTGATAGAATTTAAATGATTCTTCTTATTTGGATACGTTTAGTATTTAAATTATCGGTTTTAGTCTGTTTTAGAACATAAACTTTTAATTTTCTCAAAATCATACATGAAGTTTAGTTTTTGTTTCATTTTAGTTCCACTGTTCAAAATGTAACGTTAAATTTTGAATTTTTTTTAAAGTTTAGGTACTAAAATGGACAAAATTTGATAATTTAGGTAATAAATGCGTTAAGCTTTTAACAGTGAGGTACTAAAATGAAATAAAAATTAAACATTAGGTATGATTTTGAAAAATTGGAAGTTTAAGTACTAAAATGGATCAACATTGATAGTTTAGGTACTAAATGCATAGTTTACCCTTTTTATTTTTGTAAGATAAAGTTATTTTTTAAAAATAAATATAATTTTAAAAATAAATAGAATAATATTTTTTATTAAGCTAAGGTGATTACAAAGTAGTATATATTCTAAATACTCTCAACCATTTTCAATGAAAGATCAATTACCCTGCTATAGCCGCTGGTGCTCGAACCTGTGACCTCTAGGAACAATAACAATTCTTTTAACCAATGAGATAAATTGATTCGTGCATAAATAGAATAATATTAATTTAAAAAAAAGTCAATGTTCATTTCTCATAATATTTTGAAAATAATTTTTTTATTATCATCCAATTTACTATTTAATTATTAATAATAATTTTTATTTCATCTCTACACTTTTCTAATTAATAGAACTTTTAAATGTTAAAAGTTTACAAAAGAAATATCGGATTTATTAGATATAATATGGTAAATAATAAATTATATTGTTAAAATTATATATAATTTAAAGAAAGTTATGCTACATTTTGTGTCACTGTCTAAATTTTATTATTATTTAAAAGAATATATAGATAAATATTCAATTAGATTTTCTAATTCAACTCATCAAATGATCTAGGTATGAATGTTGATCTCTACAGAAGTCCCGATTTCAAGCAGTAACATTTTTCAGGATGTGTTGTCAATAGTTTAACAAAGTTATAAACAAATATTAACTTATAATTATCCTAAACTATTAAATTTTTTAAATTTTTTAAATTTTAAATTTTAATTTATTTTAATTTTCTATTATTATCTATATTTTAATTTTTAAATTAATATCTTGACTCTTTTTAATTATAAATATTATAATAATAATATTTTGTAAAATTTATTTAATTAATTATATTTTAAATTATAAATGTTATTTCTTTACACAATGCATGTTAACAAATTATATTATATATTTTATTAATCAATATAAATTATATTAATATTCAACTAATTATTATCAAAGTTTTTTTATATTTTAACCATGGAAAGTTAAAAAATATTATTAAATATAAAAATAAGTTAGTAAACAAATTATTAAATTTGATTTTTTTTAAATTTATTTTCATGCAATTTTAATAACTAAATAATTTTTTTGAAGAAAAATAATCTGATTTGAACAATATTCTAACCCTAACATTTGAAGATATCATTACTCACTCTAAATAACATTTTGAAAATTGAATAAAATGTCTGTTATCATTCAATCTACTACGTCTCTTATATTTCTTAATCTCTACTCTTACTTTAAAATGTCTATTATAATTTGTTTATTATTAAAATATAGATATATATTTAATTATATTTTAATTTTAATTTACTTTGATTTTATTATCTTATTTTTTGTTATTAAATATATTTTATCTCAATATTCTAACACTTTTCCTAACTGTAAATATTATAATAACAATAATATTAATGAATTAATGTTTAATTGACATAATAAAATTACATCTACATATATGATAAATACATAGCCTCCATACTAAATAAATAAATTGAACGAAACTAGAAAAAGCACAATAATTTACAAAAAAATAATTATTAAATATAAAAATAGTTTATAATAAATAATTATTTTAATTTTAATTTCACATAATTTAATAATTAAATAAAACTTTTGAAAAAAAATAATCTGATTTTGGGATATCCTAACCCTAACATTTGAAGATATCACAAGATATCGTTACTCACTTTTTATAACATTTTGAAAATTTTAAAAATTTTAATATCATCCAATATACTCAGTTTTTGAATACATTATCACTCTCTCAATTTAAAGACTGCATTTTACAGTTTATCACTCTTATGAAATCATGACGAGAAAAAGAAAGAACAATGGTGAATGTGATCAAGAATGTGAACAAGTTTCCAGGAAGTTAGAAGAATCCAATAAAGAAGAAGATGAAGATTTCTTAGAATTAACTTTATGTAACGGGTCATTGAGGAATGCAGAGCCACCCTCAAAGCGGTCTCCTACTCCGCCGTCTCCGGTTTTATCATTGCAACCATCATTGTCGTCCCAACAAATAACACCTTTAACTCTACCACCACAACAGCCGCCGTTATCTCAACAAGTAATTTCTCCAATTTTATCATTGTCGAGTCAACAACCACCATCACCACCGCCCAATCAAGTTTCTCGGCCTTCAATACCTCAGCAGTTCACCCAACAAATGATTTCTTCTTCCTTTGCACTCAGGCTATCAAACTCCCATCCTCTTTTCAACGATGAGACTATCGTGTCACATTCTTCCTCTTCTGTCCCTCTCTTTTATCCCCAAGAGTCAGTTTCTCCACTGTCTCCAGCAGCGGCTGAATCCGTCCCCATCTCGAGTACTGGCACCGGCACTACCCGGGGCGCACGTGCACGGAGCAGGAACTCTACACAAGCACCACGAGAAGGGAAAATCGAGACGATAACTCCTCCATTCCCCTGGGCCACCGAGTATCGAGCCACGGTTCACACCCTCAACCATCTGCTGTCCCAAGACATCTTCACCATCACCGGCGAGGTTCAATGCAAGAGGTGCGAGAGAAAGTTCGAGACGGCTTACGATTTGGAACAAAAGTTCAATGAAATCGGGACCTTCATAGCGCAAAACAGGAACGCCATGCACGACAGGGCTCCAGAAATCTGGATGAACCCGGCGCTACCGAAATGCGAGCTCTGCAACCAAGTGAACAGCGCAAAACCATTGATTCCAGAGGAGAAGGAATCCATCAACTGGCTGTTCTTGTTCCTGGGACAGATGATCGGATGCTGTACTCTCGAGCAGTTAAAGTATTTTTGCAAGCACACCAAGAACCATTGCACTGGTGCCAAAGATAGGGTTGTTTATCTGGCTTACCTTTCTATCTGCAAACAACTAGACCCTACCGGTCCCTTTACCAGGTAAGCTTAAGATCATCATGCACATAGTACTAAATTGCAAATGCGGTTACCATATCGTAATGATATTAAAAAATGTTACGATACAATCGTTACGATGTGTTGGCGCCGATCATTTAGTACTGTGATCGTGCATGTAATATTGCAGCAGAATTGCAGGGTGAGTGGTGAATTTACAGGGACAGCTTAACTTGATCGATTATTTTAGTCACGGTGTTTCTTCTATAATCCAGGTGTTTAGGAACCAAATTGTCTTTTTTAGCATTCGAGTTTATGAGACGTTTTATGTCTCAAACTTTATTTGAATTTTTTTCCGAGTTGAATGTATGAACTTCGAGTTGAGTTGTTCGAGCTTATATATAAATTTAATCGCAATTATTTATAATATTATGATACGAATTGGTCCTAATTTATAAACTTTCTTTAAAGATATACATGTGTAGTTGTCCATATTTTTTTGCATTGTAGTGTATCATATACAATATAAAATTATAATATTACTTTTTCAAATAAGATATTTTGAGTATAAAGTATTGATGGGAGTATAAAAGAGTCAATGAATTGATGAGAAGAAAAAATTTGTAAAAACATACAGTCAAAAGACTAAATTGAATAAAATACAATGTTAATAGACTAAATTCGAAAAAGAGTGAAATTATAGTTAAAATTAAGAATTGAAGTTATATAGGCATTCTATAATGGTAGGGAAGCATGTAGTTTAAATTTTGTTAAAACGAGTGATGAATTGAAGAAATGAGAAAATTATGCAAAATCGAAGAAGTAGATTGAAAAAAATGGGAAATAATAAAACCCTGAAGCAATGCAATTTGGTATATGTTTCGAAAGCGATCAGTAACTTGAATTGTCGGATACACAAGTGTCTCAATTAGGCCCTTATTTTACCTAATAAAAATAAATTATATTTAGAGGTTTGATTAAGTTCGAATTTTATTTAAAAGACGAATCGAGTTTTACATAGAATGGGGATCTCTTAAATCTGGGTCAAGTGTAAACTAAATTTTTTCGGTTGAATTCGGGTTTAGACCAAAAACATGGGCACAAACATCATCACATTGGCTTAGGCATGAACGCCCCTACCTACATGTGCACAAACCGCATCACATTGGATCACTTTGTAAGGTAAGTAACTTCTTTGCGTCGAAACATAGACGTATCATCAGTACGGTGTTGCTTATACTCGACAACGGATTGCCATGCTTCAGCAGGGCGGCCCCATCAGATATTGTCGCAAGAGATTTGTACCGTCACACTCACACATGCTGTGATGTTGTCCATGAGGAGAATATTGAAATAATAATAATAATAATTAGTATAATTTATTATGATAATAAAAATTGACTTGTTTGTAATATGTGCTTAATTTTCTTGTTAGGTAATTGGTCAAAATACAGCTTTGTAATCATCGTTTATTATTTGTAATCATCGTTTATTAATGAAATAGCAATTTGTACCGTCTGTTAGTAATATTTTATTTTATCAAAACATTTTAGACTTGGTTGATCCTCAATAAGAAGAATCGCGAGTTCCTTCATAAAAATATAATGTCAGATCAATTTCATATTTAATGTCCAAGTAAACATGCAGAAATGCTAAAAATACTAGACATTTTCGGATTAACTTGCCTATTTCGGTGCCTTCATGTCATAATTTGACGAAACAAATCACAAAATCAAATTCAGGACGTCGAAAAACGTATAAAATGAGGTTTTCAGTCAAAATCAACGCCGACCAAGGTCTATATCTTTTACTTAAAATGAATCCTCCAAAAGGAATTTTTTAGTTATTATTAATTCATGATTTAATAAGATATAATATAATTAAGACTTTTTTATTAATTTGATACGATTATAAGAGATTTTAAGGCTTTCGTACGTGTAAGAAATCCCGAGAGGCATAGATCGTCATTCGCATATTTTCTTACGTGACATTAGTTCGGACAAAATCTCTTAAAGATGCGGATGAAAATTCACGTTGATCAATAATATTAAAATGAGAATGTCTGACATATAATTATTGGTTGTACATGTGATATTTCAGTAAAAACGCCTACATTTCCCACCTCAAACTTCGTTTTCATGGGGATATTATTTAAGAAAAAGAAAATTAAAAATATTTTTTTTAAAATGAAAAACTAATTTTCCCCACCTCATAATCTAAAGCTCAGAGACTACTTACATAATTACTAAACTACCCCTTACATAGTAACAGTGTTCCCTAGCTGAATCTCACCGTTACTCGTTCCATCGTCACGGTTAAATTCCTTCGTTGTTGTCTTCATCTCCTTCAGCTTCTTAGCCTCTTTCCTCCACCCGATAAATTTACCGAAAAGCCCTTCCATTTCCTCCAACGTTTTCCCCTGCGTCTCCGGATAACACGTGTAGAAAAACAAAGTCGCCACCGTCGCGATCCCGGCGAACAAGAAAAACGCGCCGCCGATCGATATCGCCTTGTACAACGAAATGAACGTCATGGATATGACACCGCTGGTCACCCTGTTAACAGCAACTCCGATACTTGCTCCTTGCGCGCGTAGCCTCAACGGGAAGATCTCCGAGCTGTATACCCACGTGATCGGCCCCATACCTATGGAGAACAGAGCCACGTAGGCCAGAATCATCGTGATGCATAACACGATGGCCCACGTGACTTTCTCGTTGGAATGGCCGATTACGGTCAACGAGAAGCCGAGCGTTGTCAGTGACGCCACCATGCCGATTATGCTGCTGAGGAGCAACGGTCGCCGTCCGATTCTGTCGAGTAAGAACGTGGCTACCAAAATGAAGATCGTTTTCACGAATCCGACGGCTACGGTTGCGAGTAGCTTCTGGTCGGAAGAAGTGATCCCCACTTTCTCGAAGATCCTCGGACTGTACAAAACGACGGCGTCTATGCCGGAAGCTTGCTGGAAGAAATGAATCCCAATGCCGCAAATCAAGACGTGGCGAACGGCGGGTGTGGGGTATAAAAGTAATTCTCTCCACACGCCTTCGCCGTGGGATTGTTTTCGGACCTGAACGACGTCGTCGGTGCAGTCTTGTGGGATTCCGGCTGCTTGTTTGATGTCACTGAGTCTAAGCTCGGCTTCTTCAATGGTGTCCGATGTCTTGTCCAGCACTTTCTTCGCTTCACCGAGTCGGCCTTGCATAACGAGCCAACGCGGCGACTCGGGCATCGCTAAAACGCCGACGGCCAAGAAAACCGATGGGATTGCTCCGACGCCGAGCATCAGCCGCCACCCTAAGTCAGTTCTCAGCTTCGAAAATGCATAGTTCGAAACGTAACCCAGTAATATTCCGCCATTAATGAACACCTACAATTACAAAACAAAATTTCATATATACTTGCACATGCATATATATACACTCCTATATAAATATGAAAGACCGGAGTTTTTAGTACCTCGGGGAATGAGGTGAGGAAGCCGCGAGAGGAAGCGGGGGAGACTTCGGCGGTGTAAACGGGGGCAATCATGAGAGCAAACCCGACGCCGATTCCGGCAACAAAACGACCAACCATTAAGAAAGCGTAGTCCGTAGCGAATCCCATGAGGAGTGCTCCCACGAAGAAAATGGCACCGGCGACGATAATAGTGTAACGACGGCCTATCCAATCGGAGATCCGACCGGCGGCGCATGAACCCACTAAACAGTACAGGTTTAGAATACCCGTAACGATTTCGGCTTGAACGTCGCTGATTTTCAGGTCCTTTTGTATGAAGATAATAGCTCCACTCATTACGCCAATGTCTACACACACATCATGCCAAAAAAAAAATCAAAACATAAAATTTACCCAGTTTTTTTCTTCTTCTATGCTTAAGCTGTGAACTTGACTTACCATAACCGAGTAAGATTGAAGTTAAAGAAGCAAGTATGGCACAAGCGAAAGCAAACTTGTTTCTCTTAGGTATATTTGCAGGCTCAAAATCTGCAAGGGTTTTGTTGTCTGCTATAGCTGGTTGAGTCGAAAGGCCAGCCATGTTTGGTAGACGAGAAAAAAGGAAAGGGAAAGGGAAAGAAAAAACTGAGCTGGTGGTGGAGGAGAATACAGTAAAATTACAGATTCAGACCAGCCATGAATCTGCTATGCAGAGCCCAGTGTTGAGATGCAGAGTTTGCTTAAATAGACCAGAAGCTTTCTTTTACTTCGTGAACCACTAAGTCAAATTTACTTATGTGTTGAATCAATGTATTGTTTCGTTAAATTAATTATTACTGAATTATTTAGAGATAAAAAATAAAAGCGTTGAATGCTGAATGATTTTATTCATAGCTAAACAAACAACTTCTAACTTTCTAAAAAAATTATCAAATAAATATTAAATTTATTAAATTATTATAAAAACAATTAAAATATTAAAATGACAATAAATTTAATATTTATTAAATTTATTAAATTATTATAAAAACAATTAAAATACTAAAATGATAATAAATTTAATATTTATTAAATTTATTAAATTATTATAAAAACAATTAAAATATTAAAATGATAATAAATTTAATAATTATTTTACCATAATTTAATAAATTTAAGGGTAGAGTACATAAACGGTCCCCAAATATAAAATATTATTTTATCAAATCCATATTTTTAACGAAAAGTGATGAGTTTAAAATATAATGAATAGTCGTGTGACTAATTTTTAATGGTCATCATTTTATACATTTCACCTTTTTTAAAAATCTATTTTATTTTATTTTTTTGAATCAGTGACTTATATCTGATTTATTTATTATCAAATCTAGATCGAATTTTACATAAATCCATTATAGAGGCGGTTTTCCCAGCCTAATTTTCTCTATATGCAAACATCAAAAATTGAAAATCTAGATCGGATTTTAAACCAACTAGTTATTGATTTCTTAGTATATTTTATCAATAAACCCTCAGTTCTGCTGTCTTATGGTACAAGACTCTTGTGCAAGCTAGCTGTCTTTATAATATTGATACGTTGGACAATAATGTTTTATTTTATAAAATTTAAATCTAATTTTAATCTTATTTAGAGCAAAATGCAAAAATTTAAGAGAAAGAAGAATATTTTTAATAAATTTATAATTTAAGAAAATATAAAAAAATAAAAATAAATAATTTAACCATCCAACCAAATATAATTACTAGGATAATTATATTCTTATATATAAAATTCAGGATTTTTTTTACACCCTCTCTTATTTTAAGTCAATAAGTCAACTCCAGAAGGAAGGGGTGGACAGCTTATCCAAATGATCTCCCACCTGTTTGTCCAATCGCCAGTCCACAACTTCTGATTTCTCAGTCCACATAGACGGCCTAATATATATATATATATATATATATTACTCAATAATTCTCTCTACCTTACTCCTTTTTCTCATCAATATTTAAATGGAGGGTAAATTACTTATTAGTATCTAAACTATCAATTTGATCTTCAGTATATAAACTTTTACTTTTTTTTAAAATTATACCTAAAATTTAGTTTTTATTTTATTTTAGTATCCCGTTAAAAACTTTAGTTTTTGCTTCACTTCAGCACCCGTTCAAAATTAAACGTTAGGTTTTGAAAAAAAATAAAAGTTAAATGTTAAAACGGATCGAAATTGATAGTTTATGTATTAAACGCGTTAAGTTTTCAATGGTGGGTACTAAAATAAAATAAAAACTAAACATTGATATAGTTTTAAAAAAAATAAAAGTTTAAGTACTAAAACAGACCAAAACTTATAGTTTAGACACTACATGCATAGTTTACCCTTGAATTAATTATTAAAAATAATAAAAACAAGGACAAACTATGCATTTAGTACATAAACTACCAGTTTTGATCCATTTAGTACCTAAACTTTCAATTTTTTTTAAAATCATACCTAACGTTTAGTTTTTATTTCATTTTAGTACCTTGCCGTTAAAAACTTAACACGTTTAGTATCTAAACTATCAGTTTTGGTTTATTTTTGTATCTAAACTTTCAGTTTTTCTTAAAGCTTAACGTTAAATTTTGAATTGGGGTACTAAAATGAAACAAAAACTAAAAGTTATGTATGTTTTGAAAAAAATAAAAGTTTAGATACCAAAACAGAACAAATTGATAGTTTAGGTACCAAACACGTAATTTACCCTAAAATCAATGCTACAGATATTTCGCAATCATATTTACAAGTTTGCACGTATACTTTTCTTGCTTCTTCAACGTCAAGGAATTAATATATATATATATATATATTATATATATATATATTATATTTTCAAAATTATAATTATATATCTACTACATGTAAGGATGCTATTAAGGTAGGATTTGTGAGAGCTATTCCATTTCACACCCAATTAGATGAGGTTATGTACATGTTTCACAGATGATTGGGCGAAAACTAAGACTGAAATTACATTTATATCAGCGGTGAAATAAACGTGAATATGATTTTGTATTTTTGTATTTGTCCCATTTGGTCCCAATATATTCTGCATCATATTTTAAATATAAAATTTAGAAAATAATAATTTTAACATGAACGAAGCTTCTTCAATAGTCAAATGAATGATTGTTATTTTTAAAAGTTTTAGATTCAAGTACCAGAAAGTACATGGTATTTGAATGCTTATTGTCGAATGATCGAAAGCTTTTAAAATAGATATTACTACTTGTAAACACCCTGTCGGAACGGTTCTTAAGCTTTTTAAGGTTATGGCGGGGAGCGATCCAACTTAATTTTAGGAAATATTAGGTTTTAAAAAAAACAAATAAATAAATTCGGAGTCGCCATCGACCTTTGGATTAGTAGGTCGAATACCTAAAACTATCCTTTAAAATAATTTTAAGAAAAATAATTTTAAAAGATAAAAAGTGATATGCGCTTAACCAGAAACTCATTTTGAAAAAGGTTCGGGAGTCGATTACGCGCAGAGAATGATTAGCACCCCACAACGCCCAAAAACTACAATAAAACAAAAACTGAAGTTTTTAACAACATGATATTAAAATGAAACAAAAATAAACTTTAATTATAATTTTGAAAAAAATTAAAAATTTAGATACTAAAACAGACTAAAACTGATAGTTTATGTACTAAATAGATAGTTTACCAAAAAAATAATAGAATTACAAATGAAATTTGCCCTTTGAATTTTTGTGAGTCCAACTCACGTGCCTTTGAATTTTGCTTCACCGCCAATATACTTCTCTGCCGACTCTCCAATAATTGTAAGTTTCTCCACCATCATTAACTTCCTTCTCGCCTTTTATTATTTATTAACCCATTCATTGGGGCCTTGGAGATTTCACAATTTTATTTTTATCATTTTATTTATAATTAATAATATATTCGAAAATATTTTGAAAGATAAATACATAAATATATATACATAAATTAACGACATAATTTTTTTTATAGAGTAATATAAAAAATTACTATGCATACAATTAATAAAATAGATAATTACCTAAACAAATTTAAATTTTGGAGTGAGCATCTTCCCATCCTCAAGTTTTAATGGACCCACCATTTCTTTTAATAGGAAGTTTAATTTTGTTTGTAAAAATAAAATATATTTCATGATTAATTATTTACTTTTTCCATAAAATACCTACAATGAGAGATTAATTATCAATATTGATAATATTAGCGGATAAAAATTTAAAAATGAGGTCTAAATTTAATCATTTTTCAAAATAATGCGGATACACTTAACCCCTATCGGAGCTTAGTGCATTCGCCCCTGATTGATAACGAGTATCCTAATTTTCAAATATTATACTTTTAGGAACAGATGAGATAACAACAACACCAACAAATTCCTTTAACCGTTGAGGTAATCTGGTTAGTGCTTCAAACATTATATACTTGCTCGTTCGACTGATTCTATACGAAAGAAATTAGGGTAAAGTACAATAAAAATCAATGAACTATGCTTGAATTTAGATCATTAAATTTTTAAAAATTATGATATGATTATTAAATTTATTAAACTGTTATAAGATGGTCACTACTTTGTATACAAGAAATTATTCCAAACAATGAATAAATTGTTTGCAGTCAATTGACCAAATAAGTAAATAAGTGAAGTTAATGAGTTTGAAATTTGTTGGCAATTTTCATTTCAGAGGTGTAACGTTTTCCACGTAGGTCATTCAGGGTTAATTGGCTCTCGAATTAATTTTTTTGTTAAAAAATACGACGATTAGAGAGTCAACTGAATATTTATATTTATATATTTTTTAATTAATGTGGGGTAAGTATAATATAATATCCGTTTGAAGATAACTATCAATCATTTGACATTGAACACTCACACTCCTAGCATTACTGGTGCTCGGACTTAGGACCTCAAAGAATAACAACAACTCATTTAAAATAATTCATTTACATTTTGAGTTTTTAAATTAAAATTAATTTAAAACTTTATAATAATTGATAAATTAAAAATAAAATATATATTTTAAAATATTTAATAAATTAACTTGACATCAATAATTAATACTTAGCTTTTTATATAGGGTAAATTATGCGTTTAATACTTAAATTATTAATTTTGGTCTTATTTATTATTCAAAGTTTTAATTTTTTAAAATCATACACGATATTTAGTTTTTGTTTCATTTTAGTATATCGCTGTTAAAAATGTAACGACAATGCATTTTTATGGGTAAATTATATCATTCATCACTCAACTATCTTGACACTCCTATTTTAGTATTAAAGTTTAAACATTTTCAATTTAAGTACTCAACTTTCAAATTGCTCCAATTTTAATCACTCTAATTTATTTTTTCAATAATTTATGTGACATGATATTTTTTTTATTATTTTATTAATATACTATTAAAAATAAAAAAATAAATTTGAAAGTTAGAACGATTAAATTATGAGTAATTTGAAAGTTAAGTAATTAAATTTAAAAAAAAACTAAACTTTAGAAATCAAGATAGGAGTGAAAATATAGTTGAGTGATGAATGATATAATTTATCTATAAAAAATGTACCACACATGTAAATCATGCATTAAATTTTTAACGACAGATATTAAAATAAAAGAAAAATTAAATATTACGTATGGTTTAGACCCTTGTTTCCGACCCGAAATTAAGTTCCAAGATAACAATGGACATG